GAAAGAGTGCGGAGGCATCATGTGACCTAATGTGCTTCCCACCAGAACAGGCCCAGCAACCAGGGTTTACTAAATCAGGTGCTCGCTGCCTCACCTAGAGGCGGTGTGATCTCTGGACTCCTGGGCTTCTGGGTGTGGGGGCGGTGGGCTGATGTCTGAGTGGGCTGGAAGTGTGCTCACTGACCCTCCTTGTTATAGGTCTTAGACACCAGAGAAGGAAGGGTCTTGGTTTATCTGTGCCTGGTGTGCTTGGTTGGTCTAAGCCCTGCCTGTTCTGGGTTTGTTGTATGACCCTGGACAGCTCGCTCAACCTCCAAGAGCCTCAGTTGCCTCATCTGCAAAATGGAAGTTAGAATAGTACATCCCTCTCAGGAGCTGTTGTGAGGTTTACCTGTGACAGTATTTGCCGAGCCTTTCTGTTCCTCTCATCGACCAAATTCTTTGTCCCAGGACTTTGCACTCGCTTTTCCCTTTGCCTGGAATCTTCTTTCCTCTACCCTTTGCCTGGCTGGTGCCTCCTCAACTTTCAGCCTAAGTTTAAGTTTCAGCTGCTCAGAGCCGTCTTCGTTGACCTTGAAAACAGCCTGTAAAGCTTCATACCGTGTTCTCATTCTCCATCACAGCTTCCTTTTATTTTCTTTCCAGTCTTTCTCACTCTTTGATCTCGTTCGTTTCTCTGTTTAACTCTTTTCTACACTGGAGTATAAGCTTCATGAGGGCAGGGGCTATATCAGCCTTGGCATGATAAATCTCCAGTGCCAAGACAATGCCAGGCATGGAGCAGCCATTCAGTATGTATGTGTTAGGGGAAGAGAGGAAGGGAAGAGATGGGGAGAAAGTGCCACAACCACTACCACCACCACCATCATCTCTATCATCATTACCACAATCATCACCATCATCATAACAACCATCAATATCATCACCATCACCATCACAGTAGTAGTAGTAGTAATAGCAATGAGTACTTATCATGTGCCTGGCACTATTTCCTAAGCATCTTACATATGTTAACTCATTTAGTCCTCAACGATGACCTTATGAAGTAGGTACAGTTGTTATTCCATTCGACAGATGAAAAAACTAAGGACCCACCATTGATAAGTAGAGGATCTGGGATTCAATCCCAGCTCCAGAGCCCAAATTCAACTACCATACAACTCTCCATGATGAATGAGGCAAGCAAGTCCTGGGAACCCACAGGAAATTAGTAGTTGTGATTGTTATTGTCATCGTTGAACCCTGAAGCTTCCAGCCTTTCCACTGTCTTCTTGGGCCCCAGAGTCATGGGGGCTGGGACCTGCCATAGATGCTGCTACCAATGGCAAAGACTAGCCTCAGAGCTGTGTCCCAGGGGTTGGACAAGGGAGGCTGCAGCATCAAGCTACTGTCCTTGGTGTCTCTCAGGGGGCAGCTCTGTGCCCGAGGTCACATGCTGATGAACAGCAGAGCCCAGATTGGGATTCCCAGGGCAAGGCCATTTCCAGTGTCACCTGCTGCCTGTTCATAAACTTCTGGGATTCTTGGAGTCGATAACACATTCCCCGGCCATCTGCTATCCCAGCAATACTGAGAGGACCCGATGGAGGAAGCATCTGAAAGGGTTTGGCAGGACAGTGATGGTGGTGCAGCCTGTGCGAGCAGAGCACGTTTCCACCATGAAGTCGGATGAGCCCAAGGTATTGACTAACCAAGTCCCTCTCTGCTTCACCTGCCCTCCTCACTTCAGATAATTGACAGTGAGAATGAGGCCCTCCTGGCAGCACTCACCAAGACCCTGGATGACATCCCTGAAGATGACGTGGGTCTGGTCGCCTTCCCAGCTCTGGATGGTAGAGATGCACAATCCTGCACCTCAGTTTCGCCTGCCCCCTCGTCTGCGCCCCCCAGCCCCTCCCTGGAGCCCCTGGCCCCGGCTCCGGCCCCTGAGGTGGATGAGCTCTCACTGGTGAGAATCTATCTCCAGCTGAAGTGATGGTGGTGGCCTGGGATGTGGTGCCTGGTTTCAGGGGTGGTGGGTGTAGGGAGTGGGGTTCACGGCAAACAGCCTGGATTGGATGTGCGAGGCCTCCCTGGGCCTCACCTTTCCACCTGTACAGCTGGACTAGCCACGGAGGCTTCACCCGCATTCCGTAGGCCCTTTGGGATTTCGTGGATTCACCTTGTGTTGCAAACCCTTAAAATCACATGCGAACATTTTCCTAAAGATTATACATACACACACAATAAAAATCTAAGCAGGAAATGTGGACAGTTAAAGCAAAACCTCCTTACCCATCTCACAATCGATTTTTCCTTCCCTGGAGGTTTCCATGCTTACTGATCTGTTATGTGACTTTCCTCTTTCACCGTTTTTTTTTTTTTAAACAACAAAAGGGGGCCTACATTATACGCTTCCTGCACCTCGCTTTTCTCATTGAACTGTGTGTCTTAGAAACTCTTTCAGATGAGCACAAGTAGCTCTGTTTCATCCTTTTTGTTGTCTGCATAGGTTATACCATAGTTTATTTAATCAATTCCTTGGTTAATGGATATTTATCTTGTTTCAACTGCTTTATTGCTACAGTGCTGTAGTCGTTGTCCTGGTTCAGGCCTTTGCCACATGTAAGTGGGTAAATTCCTAGAAATGGAATTCTGTGTCTACAGGTAATGTGATTTTTCCAGTTTAGACAGGTATTTCCAGATTGCCCTCCAAAGAGGTTGGACCAGTTCCCCCCCCCACCCCCCACCGCTAGCAAAAATTAAATGCTATCTGTGTAAGTATATGCGGGACATGAGGATGTGCTTTCTCGGGAGAAGGTCTCAGCTTTTATCAGATTCTCAGAGGGCTCTAGACCTCGGTTGCTCAAAGCCATTGCCCTTTGTGTATTGGAAGCTGAGGTGTCGGGCGGAGTGTGAAGTCCAGCTACACTCACCTGTTTTAGGCTCCTCACCTTGGTGCTGTGGCCCCTGGGGGCTGGCGAGATTTGGAAACTTAGAGACTGTTAGAGCTGGGGGGAGTCTTGAGTCACAGAGAGTTTTGAGCTAGAAAGGCCGTTAGTGACCATCAAGCCCAACGATGTGATAACAGACACCCAGAGTGGGGAGGGCCTCTTCTGTGGTCGCACAGCAGAGGCTAGAGCCCAGATGTTCTGCCTCCTGGTCCAGAATGTCTTTCCTTCTTTTCTGCTGCTTTTAAGTACCCCCAGCAGCTAGTGTGTGCTGGACACATGAGTATGTTCAGTCCCACGTTGTGGCTCCTGCCGATGGGGGTATTGCTTCCTTTCAAACTGGCATCGGACCTCCTGGGTTTGAATCCCAGCTTGTGTCCCTAACCTCTCCCTGACTCAGCTTCCTGGTCTGCAACATGGGGTCAAAAATAGTGCCTATCTCAAAGGCTGTGAGGAGGAATACAGCAGGTACTATATGTAAAGCACTTAGAACAGTGCATAGCACATAGAAGTTGCTCAATAAATGCTATCTAAGTAATAGTCCAGCACGACCATTAGTAATGAGGAATCTCAGTGCCATTTCTGCTGGGGCTCTGGAGAGGGACCAAATTTCCGAGAGGCAGAGAGCGACCCCTGCTGGTCACAGGTTGTTCCTTCCCGTGCCTTAAACTGCCTCCATTCCACACAGGTTTTCAAGCACCTGTCTCAGGCACTGTGCTAGGCACACAGGAAACAGACTCACCCTCTAGACTCCCAGCGCACCGATAGAGTCCTAGAAAGGCCCTGAGATGTTATTCAAATGCCCAGTTCTTAACTCAGGGTCACGGATCCCACAGAGTCCACCAATGGCCTGACAGGGGCCCACGGACCTCTATATACCTGTGCGTTTTTCTGAGGTTAGCAGCGTCTAGTGTATTCTTAGAGGGACTCCTGAGTCGAAGCGGCTCAGATCCAGTCATTTCATTCACCTGCCCTTGTCATACCAATGGAGAAGCCAAGGCCTGGAGAGGGAAAACACTCGCCCAAGGCCTCATGCTGAGTTGGGGCTGGGCTGGGCCAGACCAGGTCCCTTCACTCCGGTCCACGTCAGAGGATCACACACATGTGTGTGTTGGTTTGGGGTCTAGGTGGGGCGGGGCAATCCTCCAGCTCCTAGAGGTATGTGGGATGGCCTTTTCTCCAGTTCCCAAGGCTTTGGCACTCCTCGCTGGGATGACTGGAGCGCATGTCCCCCGAGGAAGCACTCAGCGCTATAGCAAAACCTGTCATACTTCCGAACTTATTCTCAACCTTGCCTGTGACAGGGTCTTTGGTGGGCCTTTGGTGCGCTCAGCTCCCGGCTCCCGCAGTTGGGATGCGCTGTGCACCTGCTCTCTGGGTGCAGAAGTGTAAGAGTCTCCATAGTTTTTACAGAAAAATTAGGAGAGCCAGACAAGCTTGAGTATCGTGTGCGTCCACTTGTGTAGGGACAGCTGGGGGGCTGGAGGTGCTATGTATGTGTACAATCTTGTGTGATCGAACCCCACCTCATGACAGAGTCTCAAGAAAGTGGTTAATAGCAGTTGCTTTTGGGGTGGAGAAAGGGACCTTGGCAGGAGGAGACTTGCTTCTAATTGTCTACTCATTAGTATTTGTGGTATATTTTTTCCCACCAGTTAGAAGTCTACTTAAAAAAAAAACGAAAACAAAAACAAAAAAACGAATTTAAAAACAACATGAATAAGCAAAAAGAACAAAAGGAAAATCAGCTGGAATCCTACGCCAAAGAATTATTGTGGTAGCCAGCCTTCCAGATTTTGTGTGTGCGTGCATGCGTGTGTTACAAGCAGATGCAGAGGGTCCCAATAAAGTACATACACCACATTTAAAAGTAGAACGGGCAGATATTACCCAAGATCTGTTTGGGTTTCTCAAAGTCACAGATATTCTTCTTAGGTAATTAAATCTGAAAAGGATTGTACATTTTATTGGGATGCTTATATGTGTTTGGGGTTGTTAGACAATCTGCTCTCTGTGCTTAATATATTGGGGATGTATTCTAGGTCATTAAATGCCCATCCTGTGTTCTTCCCATGGTCCCATGATGACCCAGGTCAGGGTGTGGTCAGTCCCGAGGGGCTAGCTCAGGTTCAGGCCTCTACCCACGTTGCTTCTCCATGTCTCCTGGCTACAGCTCAGCCCCAGCTCCTCTCCCCTCTGCTTCTCCCGCAGCTGCAGAAGCTCCTGCTCGCCACCTCCTACCCAGCATCAAGCTCTGACACTCAGAAGGAAGGGACCGCCTGGTGCCAGGCAGGCCTCAGGTCCCAAAGTCAGCGGCCTTGTGTCAAGGTATTTTTGCACATGCCCCCAAGCCCACCTGGGCCCCCAGGTAGCTTGTGGGAGGTACAACCATTAGCTCTCGTTAGGGATATCAAGTTCGATCAACTTCCAGTCCCCTCCTTGCTCCTCACACGGCCTTGTAGCTGGCGTGCTGGGCACTTCTTGAGACCTAGGACAGTTTGAGATTCTAGAAAGAGCCCTGACTGTTCTTGTACACGTCCATGTTCCAGGCACGGTGTTGGTGTTAGGCACTGGGTTAGATTAAGGACCAGGAAGATGTGGCCTGCCCTCAGGTGGCTAATTCTAATGGGGTGACAGCCCAAAACATAAGAGCTCATGGTTGTGGAGACCACAATAAGGGGTGTGGATTTCCTTTTGAGGGAGCCACTGGGGAGTTGAAAACTCTATCGCAAACACCCAGGAGTGAAGCGAGTCTCACTTCCTCCTTGGGCTCCATCTTATAAGGCTTCCAAGGAGAGGTTTCAGAGGTGATTTTCCGGAGTTCCTGTTACTCAAAGCCTCTGCTCAGCCCTTCTGCTCTTGGCCTGGGACACTCCTAAAGGGACTGTTGCCTACAATCCCACACCCTGAGGGCAGAATCAGATGGCATCTCTCTCCAATGGTGGCTCTGTGTAGGAACCTGTCCCCTGCCTGGGCTCCCCTTGGGGTGGGGTCCTGTCCCTGTGCCCTCTCTCTACCTGTCCTGGCTGCTTTCCGAAAATAAAGGCCTGCCCCTCATGTTCCATCTGTCAAGGGGGCAGCAGCTAAGCTTTTTGGGGAGCCAGCTCTTTGTCCTCTAGGAAGCTAGGAAGTGCCCCAGGAATGTGAGAGACACCTGACAGTCATCTGAGCCCAGCAAAGAGACAAGTGCACTGGAGGAAATGCCCCGTATGGACAAGTGGGGATAGATAAGGCTAGGGAGAGCTGTCGGCAGGGCTGGACTGCAGAAGGCCCTTAACACCTGGCCGAGGGGCCTCGGCCCTTTTATCTGATGGGTACTGGGTAGCTACTGAATTTTTCTTTTCTTTTTTAAAAAGCTTTATGGAGGTGCCACTTACATATCCTAAAAGGCACCTGTTTTAGAAGTACAAGTCAATGATTTTTAGTGAATTTACGGAGTCGTGCAGCCATGACCACAACCCAGTTTTAGAACATTGCCATCATCCCGGGAAGATCCCCAGTGCCTCCATTACAGTTAATCTGTTCCCACGCCTGCTCCAGGCAACCACTAATGTACTTTTTGGCGCTCTTACTGAAGGCCGTAGTGCAGGAGAGAGGGATGGCCAGCCAGGGCAGGCTTTGCGGTGAATCTGAAAGGGGCAAAGTCCATGTTAGGAGGCTGCTCATTCCTTCACTCATTGCCTGAGCACTGCCAGGTGCTGGGCCCTGTGCTGGAAGCTGGGGGTAAGGTGGATGAAACCTGGTGATTTCAATAATCCAGGTGAGACATGCTAGGCCTAGCCAGTAGCCACTGCCTGATGGGGCAGAGGGGGAGAGCAGTGCGGGCCTTCCTCCTCACTGTGGTCCCTTTCCCTCTCTAGGTGGACGGCACCCAAGAAAAGAAGGCCCCCACAATGCAGTCTCAGAGCCGGAGTTGTACAGAACTGCATAAGCACCTCGTCTCCGTGCCATCCTGCCTCCGGGCTAAAGCCTGCTCCCCAGATAGGGGCCTGCAGCCACCAGCCCCACTGAGTCCCCGGCTCCCTGCCAAGGAGGACGAGGAGCCGGGTGAGGCCTGCCCGAGCCCCCAGCCAGCTCCAGCCTCTCCCCGGGACTCCCCAGTGCTGAGTGCGGCAGGCCCCAGTACCCAGGTTCCCCTGGAAAACATGCAGGCGGTGGTACAGCTCATTCGCTACATGCACACTTACTGCCTCCCCCAGAGGAAGCTGCCCCCCCAGGCCGCAGAGCCGGCCCCTCAGCCCTGCAGAAACCCCTCCAAGCAGGTCAGACCCTGGGCCCGGTCCCAGCACCCTTCCAAAGCCTCCTGGGCTGAGTTCTCCATCCTGAGGGAACTTCTGGCTCAAGACATCCTATGCGATGTCAGCAAACCCTACCGCCTGGCCACACCTGTCTACGCCTCCCTCAAGCCCCGGCCCCGGCCCCAGGACAGCCAGGCCTCCTCTGGTCGCCCATCCCCAGTGGAGGAGGTGAGGATAGCCGCTTCACCCAAAAGCACTGGGCCCAGACCCAGCCTGCGCCCACTGAGGCTGGAGGTGAAAGGACGGGTCAGCCGGTCAGCCAGGCTGCAGCAAGAGGAGGAAGACGAGGCGGAGGAAGAAAAAGAAGAGGAGGGGGAGGAAGTGGAGGAGGAAGAGTGGGGCCCGAAAAGGCTAGGCCGAGGCTCGCCATGGACCAGGCTGGGGAGGAAGCTGGAGAGCCTGGTGTGCCCCGTGCGGCGTTCCAGGAGGCTGAACCCTGAGCTGGGCCCCTGGCTGACGTTCACCGAGGAATCGCTGGTCTCCACAGAGCCTCAAGGATCTCTGCCCTCGCTGGGCCTGGCTCCTGAGGCCTATGACATGGAGGGGGAGCTGGGCAGCCCTACGGATGAGGACAGTGGCCAAGACCAGCAGCAACTCCAGAGACCCCAGATCCCGGCTCTGGAGAGCCCCTGTGAGAGTGGCTGTGGGGACACAGACGAGGACCCCAGCTGCTCACGGCTTCCTTCCAGAGGTAGTCGGAGTCGGTGGTCTGCAAGAGAGGGGGCAGGGATGGGACACGGCGTACCCCACTGCTGGGCAAGTCCCTTCCCCTCTCTGGCTCTCAACTTCCCTTTCTATATGATGGCTCGTTGGGCGGGTCTTCAGGCATCACCCCCAAATCTCTGAGTTTTCCATTATGCATGGGCCAGGCGCCACTTAATGAACAAGGCGTGAGATGCCTGCCTTGATGGGACTTGTGTTTCAGTGAGGGAGACGGGCGATCCAAAAGTAAGCAAAAAAGGAAGACAATGACATATTGTGATAAGTGCTCCGAAGAAGACTTCCTGGGTGATGATGTGTCAGAAGGTGTTTCTATACATTCAGCTCCACAGTGAAGTTGAATTTTAAATGGTAATCGTAGGGGTGATAATAACATTTATCTATTATGTACTTACTGTGCCAAGCACTGGTCTATCACAGATTATCCCCATCGACTTCTCACAGGAAGCCTGTGTGGTAGGTTCTGTTATACTCTTCATTTTAAGACACAAACGGAGGCACAGCGATTCCTTCAGCTAGTTAGTCCTGCATCCAACTGTGTCAGAGCCCACAGCTCCTGGCCTTGGGAGCAAGCTCCGCCCGGCAGTGCTACACTGTGTGGCCAGAAGGGGTCGCCCTCGTACCCTTCTCTTTTCTGCAAAATCCCGTTGATCCTGTAGTGGTTCATGTTGTTTCCCACCCTGGGAAAGAAGGTGGCTTTGAGTTGTCCTTGCCCTTCCCTAAAAATGACAGAGGTTTTCGGGTCGCATACCTGTGCTTGGGGTCTTCTCCAGAAGGAAACATTGGCTAGCAATGCCATGTTGAAGAACCTTAATATATATATTTTTTTCTTTTCAGACTCTCCCAGGTGCCTCATGCTGACCTTGTCACAAAGGTAAATTTTTGGAAATTATTGGTTTATTATTCCATGAGACCTCATCCTGTTGAGGGTGTATGTTGGGGGGCTGGCCTGGCCCCGTGCCCATGCCCTCAGTTGTCCTGTGTGGCCCTCAGGAGCTGGGCTCCCTTAGAAAGGAGTTTGTTTTTAGAACTCATCCTCTCCAGACCCAGGGAAGGAACTCTATTCTTCACAGGGAAAAGTTGATGCTGCTGCGTGATTTCGGGCAGGTCTGCGCCCTTCACTGGGCCTCAGGTGCTCGGTCTGCAAAATGAAGTTGTCTGCTTGCCCTGTCTCCACGCTCCAGTAGATCTGTCCCGCGTATCCTAAAAGAGCTATGCAGCTTTGAATTCCTCTAAGAGCCAGGATGGGGGTGGAGGGCATCCCCAACAAATTCTCCCCGGGCCTCAGTTCCTCGGGCGGCAGAACCAGGGTCTGTCACAGGTTCCCCTTGCCCTCCTGGTGCTCAGGGAGGTGGGGCCTGCTGCTGACTGGCCTCTTTCCTTTCTGTCCTCCCTGTCCCTACCAGCGATCCTCCTTTTGGCAAGAAGAGCTTTGAGCAGACCTTGACGGTGGAGCTCTGTGGCACGGCAGGTGAGCCAGGGGCTCAGCTGTGGGATGCCCATGGGGGAGCTGGCAAGACCCCTAGCAATGAGTCCCCCATACTGAGCAGCCCCTCAGGCAGTAAGGGGTGCCCCAGTGAGCCCTCCCTGCCACTACATCATAGGCCACACTGGGTTTTGAGATACACAACGAGGGCATTATAAGGAGGAGGCTCAGGGCCCGGCTCAGCTGTTCAGCTGCCAACAGCCAGCACGTGAGCTGATGTTGGGGTCAGAAAAGAAAGAGCCACAGTCTTGTGTGGGAGACAGACTCACACTGCGACGAGTACTGTTCTGTGTGCACTGGTTCCAAAATGGGTGCAAGAGCTCTGGGAGCACAGAGGTGAGGTGTGGGGGGCAGGAGCGGGGCCTGGGCGGATTTGCAGGGCACTCGGAGGAGGGGGCACTTGAGCTGGGGTTGCAGAATGAGTAGAAGTTGGAGCGACAAGGGGAGGGCCTCCTCGGCGGCAGCGTCGATGTGAGTGTAGGCACAGAGGAGAGAAAGTTCAGGTGCACTCGAGAACACTGGTCACCTGACATCGTGACATGGCAGAACTAGGGGGTCAGCAAAGAGCAACCGCAAAAGGCTAAGAGGAATGCCAGGCTGAGGGATTCCGTCTGGATCCTGTAGACTTCGGGAGCCCCAGAGAGGAAGCGATTTGTGACATTTTAGCAAATTCCTTCTGGGGGAGGATAGAGGCTAACGTTAGATTCAGGAGCACTAAGGACACTGGTGGTCAAATCTAGGTGGGAGGTTTTCTGTGGTGCCTGTTCCCTCTCTCCCCTGGGAGACGTCAGAGGCTGTTGGGAAGAAGAGTTGAGGGAGCTTGTTGAATGCCTGGACCACCTGGAGGCTTCAGCTACCATTGTCATGCTACAGAATGGATGGCAAATGGATTTCATCACATGCTGGCTCCAAAGAATTGATGATGGACTGTGTGAGGAGCCCAGGCCATGTCCAGGCTCATCCCGCAGTATGGTGACCCATTAGTGGTGCCCGCCATACATTGGGTTGGGGAAGTGGGGGCACACTTTGCCATCCCAAACTAGGGTTTCAGTGATCTGTCTCTACTTCATGTGCTTCTCCTTTTGCATGGGTAGGACTCACCCCACCCACCACACCTCCATACAAGCCCACAGAGGAGGACCCCTTCAAGCCAGACATCAAGCACAGCCCAGGCAAGGACGTAGCTCCCAGCCTCCCCACCCCAGAGGGCCTCCAGCTCGGGGCGGCCACAGGGGCGGCCCACAAGCTGCCAAAGAAGCACCCGGAGCGAAGTGAGCTCCTGTCCCACCTGCGGCATGCCACAGCCCAGCCAGCCTCCCAGGCTGGTCAGAAGCGCCCCTTCTCCTGTTCCTTTGGAGACCATGACTACTGCCAGGTGCTCAAGCCAGAGGGTGCCCTGCAGAGGAAGGTGCTGAGGTCCTGGGAGCCATCTGGGGTCCACCTTGAGGACTGGCCCCAGCAAGGTGCCCTGCGGGCTGCGGTGCAGGCCTCCGGTAGGGAGGAAAGCAGAAGCTGTGACGCAGGTGCATCTCCCAAGGACAATCTGCTGCTGAGAGACCACGAGATCCGCGCCAGCCTCACCAAGCACTTTGGGCTCCTGGAGGCCGCCCTGGAGGATGAAGAGCTGGCCTCCTGCAAGAGCCCCGAATATGACACTGTCTTTGAGGACAGCAGCAGCAGCAGTGGTGAGAGCAGCTTCCTCCTGGAGGAGGAGGAGGAGGAGGACGATGAAGAGGACTCAGGGGTCAGCCCCCCTCATTCTGACCACTGCCCCTACCAGAGCCCACCAAGCAAGGCCAGTCGGCGGCTCATATGACATTGTCGATGACAGCAGCAGCAGCAGTGGTGAGAGCAGCTTCCTCCTGGAGGAGGAGGAGGAGGAGGACGATGAAGAGGACTCAGGGGTCAGCCCCCCTCATTCTGACCACTGCCCCTACCAGAGCCCACCAAGCAAGGCCAGTCGGCGGCTCTGTTCCCGCAGCCGCTCCAGCTCCGGCTCCTCATCCTGCCGCTCCCGGTCACCAGCCACCCAAAGGACCTTCAGGTATGGATGGGTGGCCTCAGGAGGGATGATGGGCAGCTGAGGACTCCAGTTCCCAGGGGGCCAGGAGAGGGAAGAGCCTTGACACCAGGGCTGTGTTTCTTTGTGTGGTCTGTGTTCTGGTTACAGGCCTGGAGGTAAGCAAAGCCCGCTGAGTGACAGTCGGGAGCGACCCAAATGTCCTGGCCTCAGGAAAGGAAGAACACCTACTTTCTGGCCACTCGTGGCTTTGTGTCTAAATGAACTTATCCTTTATTCATCCGTTTTCTGCTTTAAATTTGTAAAGTGGATAGGTTTTTGTGGAAACATAATGTCTACCCACACAGTTTAATGCCTATGTGGCACTTACATGTAAAAAGATTAGCATAATTCTAATCTGTGTTCTGAAAAATACCTGGATTTAAAGCCGTGGTAAGGTTTATTCTCATTTCTCGGTGTTGCTGAGTCGCACTGTGACTCTCCGCAGTCAGCTGCCCCCCTGGGAGCTCTTCGCACAGGGATGATGATGCGTCATGAGCCTGTTTGCTTATCTTTGCTCACTGAACCAGATTGCAGAGGGAGCTGGCCCAAAAGTCAGCGGGGAGCTGGGCAGAAAGAATGGAGGTCTGGCATATTTTAGTGGAGACAGGTTGCTTCTTTTCCTCATCTCAGCAAGATCTGACTCTTCCTGGAGGAGGCCTGAGGTCCATCCATAGATGCAGGACCCAAACTCTCTGCCTGAGATGCACGTGAATGGCCACTAGATGGTAGCCTTGAGTCCAGAGCTGTGCCGCTGAGTCACCTGGAGGGCTGGTTACCATGCAGATGGCTGGGTCCCACCCACTGAGTGTCTGATTCTGTAGGTCTAGGGTTGGGGGTGGAGAATTTGCATTTCTACAAAGTTCCCAGGTGATGATGACTAGTCACCAGAGTGCCATACTCTGAGCACCAGAATTAGGTAATAGAAAGATACCTTAGAAAAATTCAGCTTTCTTTTTATATATCTATACCAGCAGTTTGAAAATCTGATTGAAGCAAGACTCCTCTCCCCGTTCATATGTGCGTAGACATCTACCGGACATTCCATTTTAGGGCATTCTCCAGACACTAATGTTAAGAAGCCCTGGACTATCTTACTGAAAATGAGTTCCCCAATGATTTCTCTAAAAGTCCTTCTATACAGTAAGCCAGGATGACAAGTCAGAGCCATCTTCTCTGAGTCCTTTTTCTGGCCGTTCTTTCCCCAGTGGTTGCTGTGAGCTATATGACTTGGTGTCCACATTAGGCGTTGTTTCTGCAACGTTTGTTCAGAAGCTACTGAGGTTCTCTTCCTCTTTAAATACAGCCCCCAAGGCTAGAGCTAGAGCTGGAGCTGCCTGGCTTTCTCCCGCTGACCGGTTCGGGGGTGTGTGGGGATGGCCTGCGTCCATAGGCTTGCTGGCAAAGAGTTGGGAGCCTCTGTAGAAACCCCCATGGCTTCTCCTTTCTCGCTTCTTGCTTTTGGGCCAAGTTCAGGCTGGCTTTTTCTGCTCTCTAGAGAAAGTTAATTGGTTAACGCTGTTCCTGTTTAGCTGCCTGGCAGGTAAGTCTGGTAAACTGGTCATCAGTCTTCTCCGGACCCACATTTCTTTACCTGTGCTTCCACTACCAAACACCGGTCAACGGGAAACACTTTGAGCTGGTTTAACAACACAAACCCTAAATCCCACGGTACCTTCCAGTCACTCTCAGCTCTTCAAGTGGAGAAACCGCCAACTCCATTGCAAATAGATGATGATGACATTGTTGTATAGCACTTAAAAGTCTGCACTTCACATCCTCCTCTATTACCCTATTTGAGCTTCACGGGTGCACTTGGAGGATGCATCTGCTTCTTATCCCCATTTTATAGGTAAGGAAGCTGAGGCTCAAAAAGGTTTAATAGAATATACAGCATGTGATTATCAAGCAGTTCCTGGGATAGTATTTATGTGCATTTTCTAACTTGATCCTCATAAAAGGCTAAGGAGGTGGATACAATAGAATCTCCCTATTTTACAGATGAACTGAAGCTGAGAGGGCTTAAGTAACTTGGCCCAAGGTCACCCAGCAGGCAGGTGGTAGAGTCAGTATACAAGCACAGGCTGAGAGCCCTGCTCTTCCCCTCTGCGCTGTGTCCACAAGGATGCAGACGGTGTGTGGCAGAGCTGGGACTCGGCCGCACCTCACATACCATGCTCCCTGCACTCCAGCAGCCTGGCCCTCTGGAGGAGAGGGCAGCATGCAGACAGGTAGGAAGGCGCAGGCATGTGGCATCCAGGTGCCTCTTCAAGCTGCGCATCCAGACCAAGTAGCCAGATGGCTGGACTGGACATGGGGCGGTGATGGCAAGGGTTGCTTCTGGGCCAGGCACCAACCACTAGAGAGCAGTGGGTCTATATTCAGCAAAGCTCCTTCCTCTGGCTCCCCTACATTCTAGCTTTCAGCAAATCTCATACTGAACCTGAGCCTCAGGCTTTTCATCTGGAAAATAGGAAAACATAAGTCCTCAAAAATGTTTTTCTTTTTCATCAGATCAAATATGATGATGAAGTGAAAGGGCCTTTCTATCCCTAAAAGCATAAAAAGGCCAGGTTCAGAAGGGTTCCTATCAACCACACGGTGGTTCCCAGGCATCCAGTCCCAGAAGGTAGCAGAAGGCATGTGTCGGTGTTCGGACCCACACACGGCGCTAGGCTGTCACTGCTGAGGGGGCAGCTGGGCCTCTGCAGGAGGGGTTCTAACAGTTCCACCCTCGTGAGTGAGTTGTAGAGAGGTGTCCCTTGCCTCCTGGAGCAGCTCCGCCCCCCCAAATCCCATTTGGTCCCTCCAGAGAGTGAGTGCCTCTGCTTTGCTTGTTCACTGACAGATGTGAGAGCAGAGGGCCGTGTTCAGACGGAACGCCAAGCGTCCGGCACGCCAGGAAGCGGCGAGAAAAGGCCATTGTAAGTGACCTGGGGCCCCAGAGCCCGGAGTGAATGGGAACGAGCAGGGATGCCAGGAAGGACTGGGCCTTCATAGGCCTGAAACCCTGTGAGGCTAGCTTTGGCCTGCAGAAAATAATTACATTTCTTTCATTTAAAAAATCACAAAGGTCACCAAAGGGCATCAAAGGTGGCACCGTGCAAAGTGCAGCCAAGGGACTGGCTGTGAAGCATGCGCTTGGTGGTGATTCAGGGCCCAGTGTCAGGGCCTCCAGAGGCCAAGGGGTCAGCAGAGCTAGGCCGACCAGGCCACGCGCCAGTCCCGCCACCACCTTCTGTGTGACCTTGGGCAGGTCTCCAAGCTTCCCTGAGCCTTGGTTTACTCATCTGTACACAAGGGAGTTGCACTTATGCTTCCTAAGGGTCCCCCACTTGATCAGGGCTAAGGGACCAAGAGAACCTATCCCTTGCTCCCCACTCACCTCCCTAATCCTCCCCCATAGTCAGTCCACAGTCCACATGCCTGGCGAACCTACTGCAGAGCACCCCACAGGGAAAATTCATCGGGAAACTTTGGGGGTTGGGGGTGGAGCCAGCCCCTCCACGTCACTAGAAAGGAAGGGGATGTAAGACAGATGCACAAATGACAGATTCTTCATTGCTTCCCCCCATGACGGGTGCTTTGGAGCAGAAGCAGAGGCACAGAAAAGGTATGCCTACCCTAGGTGCTTAAAACCACAGGCTGTTCAGAGGGCCTCTTGGAATCTACTTGTGACCACTCAGCAGATATGAACAAGTCAGATGAAGCCTCTACTCCTGTGGTTGGGGCAGAAGGAAGAAGCAACAGACTCGTAAACAAGGAATAGACACTGTAAATGTAGATTGAGTGAAGCGCTATGAAATTAATCACGTCACCACTAAAACGTCTGAAATAAACAGTCGTGTTTTGACTGTTGGGGAGGATGTATTTTGATAATGGTCTGGGGAGGCATCTACAAGGACTTGGGCCCTGAGGGATGAAAGGAGCCAGCCAAGCAAAGATTTAGGAGAACAGTGAGTGGGGCAGCGGCAGGAAAGTGTCTGGAAGTCAAGGAGCTGCAGGGAGGCTGGGGGAGGGGGTTTCTACTTTGAGCTTAACTGAGCCGTATCCTGGTGTGGGATGCACAGTTCCTGTGACTGCCGACAGCAGTGCCTTGCTCTGGACCCCAGGCCTGTGCTTTCCTCCCTGCCTGTGGTATGAGAATAGGATGGCTCCAGAATCACTGGTTTTAACCTGCTCCCGGAGAAAACCTGTCCAAACCAGAACCTGTTGGTTTTGCCCACAGGAGCACAGGTTCCCAGGATCATGCTTTAATTTCTCCAGGAGGTCAAAGCGACTCTTCCAATGGCAGTAGCTTTAACTGGAAGAATCTCAGATTGGAGAAGAGAGAAGGGGAGGTTTCAGCTAGGCTTCCCCCCACCCCTTCTCTCCACTGGCCTGTTCTAGGGGCCCACAGGCATGGCACTGAGCTCACCTGAAGGTGACTTCAGTCACAGTGTCTACACACTGCCCCGGCAAAACCGAGGATAATATTGGCTTCAGTAGCCCTATGTCCCCTGTCCGACTGCTTTCCTCCCAGCCAGCTCTGACTCCCTCTATAATCTGGCTCCCAGTGCTTGCCCACCGCCACCTCAGCAACTTGCCTTTCCACCCCAACACCTCCCACGACCAAAAACACCGCAGACTCGAAACGAGATGGAAGCTACTGAGCATGCAGTTATAGTAACAGTGATGAACACCTCTCTTTCTTCACCCAGTCTCTGCTCATTTCCTTCAAGGGAGCAGTTGCTTCCTTTGGGGGTCACTTCCCCATTCGACACTCAGCGGTCCCCCTCCTCCAGCAGGACAGGTCCTCTGGGACAGCAACTATCATTGTTTTCTCTCTGACTCTGGTCCTAGCTGGTGTTGCTTGCTCAGTCAGGCATCATGGACTGGGGACGAGGACTCCATTGGAGCCCGCCACCAGAGGGGCTCCAGGAAGCCAGGTAATGACTAGGTTCCTCTGTGTCGCCCTTCTTGAGCAGGGCGAAGGCCGCGTGGTATATGTTCGAAATCTCTCCAGCGACATGAGCTCCCGTGAGCTGAAGAGGCGTTTCGAAGTGTTTGGTGAGATTGTAGAGTGCCAGGTGCTGACGAGAAGCAAGAGGTGAGTGGAGTCAAGCTATGGCAGGGGAGGGGGAAGGGAGGGGCAGAGGTCCTGATCCAGGGCTGGCCACACAGTAGATGCCTGAGATTTGTGGAAAAAAGTTTAACAAAGTCCACAGCCTGGACCCGGAGAGCCAGGCACGGGAGCAAGATCAATAGGAATCCTGCAGCCCAGTAAGAGCAGTGAACACGTGCTGATGGTCTGCTAAGTACCAGTCAACTTCTGTGCATTCTCTGAAACGTCCCAATATGCCTGTGACGAATGCACTCATTCTTTCCATGGCTGTCCTTTCCAGGGGAGCTCAGACAAGTTAACTGAGTAGCTAGTTAGTGACAGAGCCAGATCTGCAGCCCATTTGTGTTCTTCAAGAGCTGGTGAAGGGCAGCAAACAGCCCCTGGGGCTTAGAGGCACGCTTGCATGGGGACCTCACTGAGCTGCAAGCCCTCGATTCTTCTGTAGCAACCACTCCTGGAACCTCCCGCTCTGCTGGGCAGCCTGGTTTTTCCTCACTCACCTGGGGAAGCAGTGTTTCATCTATCAGTGGTCTGCAAGAATGGGTTGCATATAAATTCACAACTTAGATGTCAAAATTTTGTCAGCATCTTCCATTATACTTGCAAACTAAGTTATTAATGTTTTTAAATTCTAATTTAATACATTTTTAAAAGCTTCAATGAGAAAATAGTGTCTGCACAAGAATCATTACACATCCCTTAGGAGGGCTACAGAGAATAATAACAAGTGTTGGCGAGGATGTAGATATAAGGGAACCTTTGTACACTCTTGGTGGGAATGTGAGCTGGTACAGCCACTGTGGAAAACAGTAGGGAGGTTCCTAAAAAAATTAGACAGAATTACCATATGATCCAACAATCTCATTTCTGGGTATCTACTCAAAACAACTAAAGCAAGATCTCAAAGAGATATTTTGCACACCCATGTTCATAACCCCATTATTCACAATAGCCAAGAGGTGGAAACAACCCACCCATCCATCTGCAGATGAGTGGATAAAGAAAATATGGTATGTGCGTATGATGGAATATTATTATTCAGCCTTAAGAAGGAAGGAAATCCTGTCACATGCTATAAGCATGGATGAATCTTGAGGACATTGTGCTAAGTGAAAGAAGCCAGCAACAAAAAAGACAGATACTGTGTGCTTCCGCTTACACGAGGTACCTAGAATAGTCAAATTCATAGAAACAGAAGGTAGAATGGTGAGTACCAGGGACTGGGGAGAAAGAGGTAAAGGGAGCTGTTGGCTTAATGGTATAGAGCTTTGCAGGATGAAACGTTTCTGAAAGTCTGCTGCACAACAATCTGAACATATGTAACACTATGAAACTATACACTTAAAGCTAGTAAAGATGGTAAATTTTATGTTATGTGTTTTTACCACCGTTAAAGAGTCATTACACAAATGGAACTCTTCATTTATGTGCAGTCTTCAGGATATCAAATGGAGATAACATGTGAAAACAGCCAGCAAATTAATCTCTAAAGAGAAGGGTCAGTTTGTTAAGATTTTAAAAAGCACACACAAGTCTCAGACACACTACCAGTCTCAGACATTGAAAGAGGCAGAAGGCATCCAACTTTGGCCTGGCTCAGAGGATGGTCAGGAAATGTGATTCAGTTGAGCATTTATTGGGCACGTACTGTTGGTGAGCCTGTCCTGAGTGGTGGGGAAACTCTATGCTGTCTCTGCCCTTGAGGAGTCTGCTTAGCGTTCATGGAACTGAAAAGTCAGGGTTGGGGTGGGTAGAACTGACTTTAGGCTCCCGTCACCTTGATATCCTTCTCAGGCAGGCTTCCCTCCTGGTGGCAAAGTGACTGCCTCAAGCTCTAAGCTTTATCTACTTCCAGGGGGAGCAGGAGTCTCCTCCCTGGTTCTAGCACAGACCTGGGATGGATTCTTTGGGGTTCCACTTTGGGCAACAGGCTTATCCTTGAACAAATCATTGTGGCCAGAAAGGGCCACAGTCGTGTGGCTTACCCTGGCACCCTGCGCCCAGTTGAGCACGTGGTGCTTTTGTCAGAGGAAGGGAAGTGGATGCTGAGCAGGCAGATGCAACAGATGTCTACCACGGAAGGTGAGACGTGCACAGAATACCGGCAACATTAGGAAGGGCTAGCCAAAGGAGTGGTGACTGAGGCTGGTCTTGAAGGATGTGGGAGTGCTAGGATGGGGCCATAACACGACATGAGGCAAATGGCCCAGTAACACGGTCCCCTTCTCCTCCCCCAGGGGCGAGAAGTACGGCTTCATTACTTACCGGCGTTCTGAGCACGCCGCCCTCTCTCTGAGGAACGGCGCGGCCCTGCGCAAGCGCAATGAGCCTTCCTTCCAGCTGAGCTACGGGGGACTCCGGCGCTTCTGCTGGCCCAGACACACCGACTACGGTAAGGACGCAGGGCCCCGCCTCATTCCAGTAAGACCCAAAGCACGAGGGGCACAGACCTCCCTTGATGAAACCCAGACCTGGAGCCCCGTCTGGACCTGGCTCCCACATCCAAGCTCCAGTGTGCTGATTGGTGTTAACTTTGCAGCCACTTCGCCTGGAGGCTGCCATCTTGATTTTATCTTCTGGCCTGTGGTCCATCAAAAAGATTCAGGCCTCCCGTGGCCTCTTGGAAGGGCCAATCTTGTGTTCACAGCCAGCTGGCAGAACCGTCAATACTGTTTCTTTGACCTCACAGGGCCGGTAGCTGCTCTGCCCTCTTGAAGGCCATTCCATGATGGCCCCAACAGGCAGCAGCCTTGTCCATTAAGGGGCCACGGTGAAACAATATTGTCACCATGCCCTCATAATTTGGGGACAAATTGGTGAAAAAGGACAAAGAAGTACAATTCAGGAGAGAATTATTTGTAGGAGAGAGTCTGAGGCAGCCTCCATAGTGCAGGGCTGAGCGTCAGGGGACCTAGGCCAGGCAGCGCTCCACCTGGGACCTAGTTTCTTATCTATAGAGTATAGCATATCAGAGCTGGGAAGGAGCTCTGGGGTGCTCTAGTTCAGCCCTTCACCCCCATCCTACAAACAGGGCAGCTGAGGCCCTGAGACATAGGTAACACGACACAGATGCCACAGCAGAATGGCAGAACCAATGCTCGCTGTCCAGTGTTCTCTGAGGCTTTGGGCCACATCAGCTCCGTGGGGCTGCCCCTGGTGGCAGATTTTCTGATCATCTGGCCTTTCTAAGTTGCTGGCCTTTCCCACTCACTGACTCCTCCACCCCCCTGCCCAGATTCCAATTCAGAAGAGGCCCTTCCTGCGTCAGTGAAAAACAAGTACGAAGCCATGGATTTTGACAGCTTACTGAAGGAGGCCCAGCAAAGCCTGCACTGATAACAGCCTTAACCTTCGAGGAATACCTCAATACCTCAGACAAGGCCCTTTCAATATGTTTACGTTTTCAAAGAAAATGAGTATATGAGAAGGAGAGAGAGCGAGCGTGTGAGAGAGCACACATGAGAGCGAGAGAGACTTGAAACTGCTGTCCTTTAAAAAAAAAAATCAATGTTTACATTGAACAAAGCTGCTTCTGTCTGTGAGTTTCCATGGTGTTGACGTTCCACTGCCACATTAGCATCCTCGCTTCTGACGGATTGTCCCGGATGCGTCTCCAAGTGCTGGGTCAGTCACCCATCTGCCCTTCCTTCCCGACCGACTTCCCCTTGTAGACGTGCAGCCGTGTTCACCACAACATTTCTTGTCTGTAGTGTGTGATGATGAAATTGTTACTTGTGAATAGAATCAGGATTATAAACTCATTTTTAATTGAAAAAAAAAAAGTATATCCTTAAAATAATGTATTTATGGCTCAGATGTACTGTGCCTGGGGTTATTGTATTGCTTCCTTGATTTTTTAACTATGCACTGTTGTGAGGTGTTTGCCACTGAGCTGCTCTGCTCCCTTTACCAGAATGCCCCAGAGGTTCTGGGTGGCCAGTAGACTGGTCCCAGGGGAGGTGTGGCCTGCAGCCACAACGAGGAGCAGTGGAGAGATGTTTCTGGGCCTTTTCTGCCAAGCCCTGCTCTGTCTCTCATTGAGCGAGTTTGGGTCCAATTACAATCAGAGCCCTCACTTGGTGCCCAGGTCTCACTTAGAGTTTCCACCTGGCCATGAGTCCTTCCAAGAGGCCAAGACCTTTGCGGACCTTGTAAGAAAGGCAGGGTGAGTTATGTTATTTCTGTTTTTCCAGGTGAGGTAGGCAGTACCCCAAGAGGTGAAATGACTTGCCTGAGGTCCCACAGCCAGTGAGAGGGCAGAGCAGTGACCCAGCCCAGGCCCCCTGATTCCTGAGCCCATGCTCCTGCATAGCTGGAGCAAAGATGTAACATTTCAGGAGCTGGTAGGTAGAGGTGAGTTCAGCTGAATTGGGCAACAAGCTAAAAGCCTACAGGCTCATTGTGGCAGTTAAGTCAACAGCTGACTGCCAGCATTTGGTGAGTTCAAGTTCTGGTATGTGTTTTGGTCCTGTGGTTTGCCTCCACCTGTGGACATACCATTAGGGCTTCAGTGACACATCTGGAGTGGCATGGAGAGGCGATCTGAGAGCAGTCATCCTTTTGGGGCCAGTCACCAACCCGTATTACTCCCTTCACCTGATCTTTCTTTTTCCTCAGTTGTAAAGTTGTTTTGGGGGTGTGGGGAAAGGGGAGCAGGAAGAGGATGTGAGGGTTGGGGACAGATAAGACAATCTCTAAGCTCCTTTGAAACTTAGACAACATGCTAATTGGATTTTACTTTAAAATTTGTGTTCTTGAGTGATTCAAAGCCATGTCCAGCTTGGATGTTCTGCAGGTGCCTTGGGGGCCACCCGTGAGGGAGAGCATGGCCAGGCAGGGTGTGAGCATGTTGCTTCTGCCTCAGAGTAGCTCCAGCTTGATTTTTTTCAGACATCAGGGTTCCTTGGGAAAATTTTATATTTGAAAAGAAAAGAAAAAAGGTCCTGCTGTTTAAAAAAAAGTTCGAAATTGACTCATTAAACTAAACAAGCTAATTTAATGTATTGCTAGTGCCAGGCCTAGTTCTTTGAGAATTGGTAGTTGATTTTTTTTTTTTTTAAGATTTTTAAATACCTCAGTACGTAAACAGAGCCGATGAACTTGTACTGGGTAGTGAGCATACTCCAAGCCCACAGAGGAGGCTGGAGGAGACATGCTTTAAAGACAACAGGGAATTTGAGCTTCTGTGCGTCAAGTCATTTGACCTCTTTGAGCCCCAATTTCATTTTCTGTGAAAGGGACTGAGGGGGAGAATTAGTCAAGTTGTTCTCCAAAGTCCCTGCCAGCCCTAACAGTCTTAGCTTCTGCTAAGGCAGTGTCTAGCTCAAGATGGCAAATACACTGTACGTGTGTCACTACAGCCACAGCCTTGGCCAGAGACAGACACAACTTATCTACCACAGCACTCATGTTCTTTGAGCCTGGTCCTGTCGTTAGAAACCTCGGCACAGTGCTCTGAGCAGACATTAACCTATTCGACATCCTGGTCTAATTTTCGAAAGGTTTCCATAACACAACGATATGGTGGCTGGGTTTCGTGCTAGCCCATCTTTGTCTGTCATGTCGTGATGGATGAGAGAAAATTCCCCTAAAGCCATTCTTTGGCATACAATTCCCAATATTTCTGTGACACACAATCCCATTTGGGGTGGGGGTGGGGAGTGGAATAGCAGACATGAACGTGTTTGGCAAGGCAGGGTTTATGAGGATGGACCAAAAAAAAGGAACTTTCCACAGCACAGACCTGAACATTTTAAATTCCTTTTATAGCTATTCACTGCCTAGCACACAGTAGGCACACAATAAATGGCTGTGGAATAGAATGGCACAGAATAGAATTTAAATCCGTCTGCTGCCTGCCCTCTGGAAGCCGATAGGAAAGAACTCTAGATTCAGAGTGGGGCTAGGTCATGTCTAAGCCCCTCCTATTGGCTTCTTCCTCGATTGCGCTAGGCCAGAAGTTCTACGCTGGGCAGGTGGTGCCTTAGGGTAAAGAAATTCAGATTTTTAGTGAAGGACAAGCCTCTCCCCTCCTCTGGGTCAGCTGAAGCTGTCCTTTCTCGTCAGGTTAATACAGGGGTCTTAAAGTTACTTAAACTTGGCCCTTGAACAGAGCAGAGATCTGAGCAAGGCAGTGGGGTGTGACGTGCCTAAGGTCAGAGCTGGGGGCTGCTGATGAGAGGGTGCCTGCCGAGGATATCACGCAGTTTCTGCTCACCATCCCGTACCGGAAAGGCAACAGGTTCCAAAGCTGACTGATCCTGCAGACCACCTCTATCCAGAAGACTCATTCGGTGCTGTGTATTATTTACCAAGGAGGCTCCAAGGTCTCTCCAGGAAAACGAGCAAACCTTGGTCTCTCTCCCACCAACTTAAGCAGTAACCCAGAGGGAGCAGCTGCCATTGGCAACCATCTCGTTGTAGCTCTGTCCTAGTATTTGCTCTCAATGATGTTTACATGTGATTGGCATACAGCTTACTATAGACCGTGTCGGTAGCTGCCCACGCAAGGCAGCATGTACTGTCTATCTCTGTGCTGTGCTGGTGTTTTCCAAAAATATCCGATCCAACCGCTAAGTGGAATTCTTCCATCTCCTTCTTCAGTCGATACAAGGCTGAATCAGAATCCTCACTCTCGGGGGCTCTGGTTATCGAAGGAAAATGCATCAAAGAAGTAAAGAATATGAGTGGATGGAGTGTAGCTAAGTCTCCCACCCCCTAACCCCTTTATACCTTGCCCCCCAATCGGAAAACTCCTTGGTGTCTAAAAGCACCCGTCAGGTGTCTGCACCTGCCATGAGATCTGGCAGCGTGGCATGTGGGACATGCTTGGGAGAGAGGCAAGGCTTTGGGGGCTTCGGGAGAGGGAGGGGAAAGGAAGGAATGCTCCGAGCTCAAAGACTCAGTACCCAAGTCCCGATGTGGGAAGAGATGATGCAGTAAGGTTTCTTTTGCTGCCTAAAGCCTATGCCTCTTGATGTTCTGAGGGCAGTTTCTTCTAGGCGTGTACAATACACATGCCCAAGCTGCCATGCGGGCGGGGAATGGAACAGGCAGGGAAGGCAATGACAGCGAAGTCTTTCTGCATGAACAGGTCGAAACCCCATTCCAGGCCTTGGGTTCAGTTGAAATCACAGCTGAGCCTGCAGCTTGAGAGATAGGTCATCCCAACTGTGAAGCAGAAGCCACTCCAGAGAATTTGTTGATTTGACTCACTTGATGTCAAAACTGCAGTAATTTTCTTAGTATTCGAGATGTAGCAGTTGCCCTCAGATATGACCAAGGAAGGAAATTAGATGTACAGTAGCAAATAAAGTAAACCTGTTGGTTTCATTGGCCAAAGAAGACGGTCCTGCTCACCCTTTCCCAGTGGGGTGGAAGGAAACTGGTTAGTACTTATGTGCAATATGTTTAAGCTGGTCTCCAAGTTCCTGAGGCATTTGCACACACAGATGGGCTTCAGGACCGTGTGCCAAGTTCAGAGGTACAGGGTAAGTGGAGGGAGAGCTTGGGAGCTGGGAAACCCATGTGCACAGAGATACCCAAAGCAGATGGGGACAGGGAGCCATTGGGAGCTTGCCGCACGATGTCCAGGAAGTAGGCAGAGGCTGACTTTGCATTGAACCAATAAAAGCACTTTGAGAAAACCGCAACACTTCAGCTTGTCTCCATGTGTCCACACCGGCAAATATGAGTCTCCTTTGGCAGCGTGAGGTACTGTCATCCTAGGGATGGAGCCAGGGCATCGGGAAGGAGGCTGATGTGAGGGAGGAGAGAGCAGAGATGCCTTCCAAGACATCAGCAGCAGGAGAGGCCATCCTAGGTTTTGGATCTTGGTACTTATTTTTGTAAAA